AGAAAAGCAGCAATGTTTGGTGGGCAACTCCAGGACCAGCTGCAATGACTTAATGACCCTGCCCTGGTGCTGACCAATCAGTAGAGACCACAACCCTAAAAGGTGGAAAAGCTGATGAATATTTTATTGAAATCTCCTCTAAGACCGCCCTTAAATTCCCAGCCTTTAAAAACCCTCAAAACAAAGGACCCAGCGGGTGCTCCCCTCTCTGGAGTAAGCTCTCGCCTTTCCCTTTCCTCTCTTCCCCCGTAGGAGTGCAGCTCCTAACTTCTAAGGGTCCCCATGAGATTTGAAACCTGTCTCCAGGCCCCATTTTCTCGGACTTTCCAGTGAGCAACAGCAGCCCCGCCCAGGCTCTCCTGTGGCTTCTTCCATCCTCCATCCTAAGCCCTTCCGTGTTTCCCTGAACCCAGCTCTAATAAAGGACTCTCAATCACCTGGACTCTGGTTGCGAAATCTTTCCTGCACAAGGTCAAGAACCCACACACTGCCCAGCTAGTGTAGCTCAGTGGCTGAGTATCGACCTATGAGTCAGGGAGTCATGGTTCAATTCTGGGTCAGGGCACATGCCCAGGCTACAGTCTCTGTCCCCAGTAGTGGGCATGCAGAAGGCAGCTGATCAATGATGAGTGATTCTCATCATTAATGGTTTTTTCTCTCTCCCTCTCCTTTCCTCACTGAAATCAATAAAAATGTATTTCACATACACACACACTGCTGGCCAGCCCTAGGCAGACCCGCTAAGGGCCCGGTAACAACCTCTCACACTTGTGTAGACGGTACCCTGATTGGGGAAGAAGAAAGAACTCCCTGCCCTGGAGGGAATAACCCCAACCCCAGAGAAGCCCTGACCCCGGCACTCAGCCTGCCAGACTGGCGCCCTCCTCACCTCCCTCTCCCTCACCCTCCCACACACAAACACATCCCAACTTCTGCCACCTGGGGGCCTCTACACCTGTTACTCTCCCAGGCTGGGGAGCCCTCTGTCCCCATCCAGGGCCCTCATTCCACAGCCCCTCCCCTTCAAGACCCAGCCCAACACCTCATCTTCCCCGAAGTCTCCCAGCTGCTGCCACCCTCGCCTCCCACCAGCCAGAGGGGGCCTTGCATCTGATGGATGGCCCCGCTGACTGTGGCCATTCTATCTGTCCGCTCTGCGACCTTGATCAGGCAGCTCAACGTCTCTGAGCTCAAATTCCTACCTCCCAGGGAGGAGGAGAAGTTGTGAAGATGAGGTGGCAAGATGGCAAGCTGTACGTGAAGCATGGCGAGGCCAGGGGAGCTGGGCAGAGAATGGCCCTGCTCTGATCCTGGGCGGGTTACCTCGTTTCTCCATGTCCCCCCCCTCCTCTGTGGAATGGGCACAATAACACCGTGCTGTCCTGAGACCAACAAGGGAACTTGAGGTGCCAGTTTGCTGTAAAGAACTGAACTATGTAGTCTAAACCAGAAGTGGCCCAGCCATCTCCACCTAAACCGAGGCCCTGGGCGCCGGGGCCCCAGGCCGCTCAGCGAGGCAGCACACGGAGAAGAGCCGAGGTGCAGACTGCCCAGCAAGGC